GACATCAACACCATTTAGCAGAACATTCCTTAATATATGACGATAAGCAACTATGCCAGCAAAGTCATGTTTAAGAGGTTCCATCTCATAAATATTAAAGTTCTGTTGTGGCGCACTAAATAAAAGTTTTCCTGCGTGATCAATAACCATCGTACTATGATGTTCCTTCGGAGTTGGACTCGGTATTGCTTCAACCAAGCGATCTTGAATTTTGGATGGCGTGCAATAGAATAAAGAGGTAACACCTTTTCTACTAATGCAAATGTTGTAACCTTCCCATCGTTCTATTTACAAAAAAATATTTAATTACGCGTCAATTATACAATATTAAATCGCTTTTTTTTTGAAAACAATTTACATTAAAAGATGAACCTTGAGGACTGGTCTCTCGATCGAATATTTTAACATTAAATTTCTGGTCAAGATTTTTTCGAGCTGATTGGTAAAAACTAAGTCCACCTATACCTGCTCCAACAATCAAAATTGTTGGAATTTTGTTTACAGGAGTTTCCATTCTTTAATCTTAATTATAGAATTATCTTATAGAATTGTTTTTATCATGCTCGGTCTGCGAGCTGCTCTATATATATATATAAGAAATCATTCAATCCTAATATATATATGTTACAAATATAGTCATTTATTTATTTTCAAAGTTGCATATCTGATATATCTGTTCATGCATAAAGTTAATTCTTTTCACTCATGCACAAAGTTTAAGATATGCATAATGATAGCCTTTTTTATATATTATAGTGCTTATATAAAATTACTAATTTGGAGATATATTCAATCAGTAATATTTATATTTATTTGGAAATCTGAAAAATCACCATGATTTTAGGATAGATTAGTGGAGCAACCAAAATTCAGCAGATCGACCAAAAGTACGATAACCAGTGTTAAATCATCACCCAAAAAAAAAGACATAATATTTTTACAGTGTATGCAATAGTTCTTTCGCTTTCAAAACCAATAATACAAAGCATTAATATTTAAATTTTCAAGATGAATTTTGTAAAGAACTTCAACTAAAAATTTTTTCTTGAAAAAAAATATGAAATTACAATTTTCAATTTAAGCTAGATATCGATATATTTAACTATATATTTTATTATTGTTTTATAGTAAGTACATGTCTTTGGAATTAGTATTTTTCACGCTTTAAAAGTCTTATTTGGCTTGTAAATATTACAACGACTACGCTTCTTCATAATTTACATCATATAATCTGTAAATTTTTTGGATAGCGATTTAATCCCGGTTCAAGGGAAGGTAGATAATCTGCAGAAGTCACCCTTTTTTGCAAACTGCAATACAGTAATATATTTTTTTAAAGTTACATTTGTGCTTAATATATTTTTAAAGTTACATTTGTACTTATTATTCCTATCTTCAAATTATTATCAAATTATGGCAATTTTCAAATAAACTTTCTTATTTGGTTATTGTGATTGGAAGGTTGCACTATCGCTATACCGATACATACTCCGATACTCCTGTACTCGATATAGTTATAGATAATAAAAACCAATTATACCAAATTTAGAATTGATAAAGTAGTGCTAGTTTTGAAAAATATCAGCTGATTTTTAAAACTGTTAATATTACTATATATAACTTTTACAGTAAATACCTTTTTTGGACCCACTGGTCCGTTTTGGATAATTGCAATCCTGATATTACCGTAAACTGCTCCGCATAGTAGACTCCCCATGTATAAATCCGGGTGCAAATCACTGGATCTTAAAAATCTGGATTGCCTGTTATAAATGTTAA